CCCCCCCATTCTCATGTATTTACATATCGAACATCTGAACTTACTTTTTTCCCTTTCTACCGCCCAAATTGTTCATATTACATGAAAAAAAATATCACTATTTTAATTTAAAAAATAAAATTCAACTATTAGATGATCGAACTTACCATATTCCATCATTATTAAAATGAATTTTCAAGTAACCATTTCAAACTTCATAAATATATAAGAATTTAACTTTTCACATTTAAAAAAAATAAAAATAAGGGGCAATTACCTACAGAGCATAGAATTCTCATATATTTACATTCCTAACATCAAAACTTTAAATTTTTCATTCACAGCCCTAAAATCTTACATATATCATCAAAAATACCAGAAATACGCTATCTCAAGTATATATAAAGTGCAATAAATATAATAATTAAACTTTAAGCATTAGATATATAAATATAGAAAAGATTGTGGTATGCATGCACATCCTCATAAAAAAAAAAACACACGAAAATGATTCAGAATGACTTGTAAACTAAAAGAAAATCACTTCACTAACAAGTTGTTCATCATAAATAAAAACAAGGTCAAACAGCAAAAATCTACAGACAAAATAAAATACCTTCACTCTGAAAACACTAAGTTCTCCTCCCTAATTAATCCCACACAGCAATAGAAACAGGTAGGCGTGCATGACATAAAAGAAGAAACCAAGGTACCAAAGACTACAGTACAGGTTAAGTATATAATATCAGGAAAGTTCAATTTCATTTCCATGAGAGGTTTGACATGCCCAGCAGATTGGTATTGTTAAAAGTTCCAGTGCTTTGGTTCAGTGGACTAGGAGGTCCGCCGGAGGACTCGCTCGCCGTTCCCCGAGAGGGTGGACTGCTCGTACTTACGGTCAAGCCTCCGCCTGCGCCGGCACCGATGCCGTCAGCGGGACCAAGCTTTGCAGCCGATGATAAAGTGTTGACGAAATTAGTATGCTTTGGAGCTTTCTTCCCGTCGGCAATAAAACTTCCCACGACGACCTGAAATTAGGCAAATGAGGTATATTTCAATCACTAAAGATGCAATGTTATTTGACCTGCATGTTTCCATGCACTCATCATCTACAAACATGCATATATTGACGCATAATGCTCATATGTATGGATATATATATATATATATATATATATATATATATATATATATCTTTTTTTTTTTTTTTTGACTCTGCAACTTTAGAAAGAAGACTTCACATGAGAACAGAAGCTTGACAATAAAAAATACATTGCAGAAACTGAAGTCAACTTGTTTCCCCTAAATTGAGCTCACTTTTTTCAAGACAAGAAAACAAGCAATGTAATCAGTAACATTTATATTCAAAGAAACCATGGTGTCATGTAGGAAAAATGGCTGACCTGAACAGGAGATGCTGCTGTAAGAAGCCCAGCCACCCCGCCACCAATAACACGACCATCAGGACCAGCCAACGAAACACTCAGGCCGCCAGTTCGACTGCGCTGACCACCATTCTCAGACAGAAGAAAAGAACCAGAAAGTGATAGTATTTCAAAACGACCCTGAATATAAACAATAAGAAACAAATCATGCTAGCTCTCTACATGGTTTTTCCACAATCTAATATAATTAGTTGGTTCTAACTGAAAAAAATTAAGTGTTATATGCAATAACAAAAAATGTTGAACGTCAAAACAATGTGGCATTGCTGGTAGAAACAGCAAGCGAAAGTCACTTAAAGCTACTATATAAACTGATATGAGCTACAGCCTACAGAACATTTGATAAAAAAAAAGGCACTGATAAAATAAAAGAAAGAAAGATTTATATACATACCACTTAATTCCTAAGTATTTACATATCTAACACCTAAACTTCAATTCATATATGACACCTTACCTATACATGAAAATGTGTATTTCACTTCTTAAAAGTTAAAAAAGTGGTATTTTTTTATGTGATATGAACGTATTGGGGTAGATATGTAAAAAAAGTAAAGTATACGTGTTAGACATGTAAATACATTGAAATTGAGTGGTATGTATGTAAATGCCCCAAAAAGAAATAACAAACCTCATAAGTTACTGTTCCACCAGAAGTTGCAGCCTGACGAAGCGTCACATTAGATATAGCACCATTTGCAGAAAGAATGCAAACAGCACGCGGTCCATTTTGGGAGAACGACATGATTTTTGAGGATACATCCTGGGCAATGAAAAGACATTATTTAAAACCCTATTCTTATTGTCATATGTACAATCAAATCGGACCAATAAATTCACAAAAATTAAGTATATCCATCACCGGAAGGAAAAAAAATACAAATTCAATTGTCAGTTGAAAATATTAAATCTTTTTTCATGAATCAAATAGGACATTGGTGACTGCTAAAGAGATGCATGGAACATATATATGATCATAAACACAATTATAACTCAAACATTAGAAGGAAAAAAAGGCACAAATAATTAATGCATATAAATTGAAGAAATAAAAAATTACCAGTAATTGAAGCTAACTGAAAATGGTCAAAGCACTAAAAAGGAAAGCTTTGGCATCTATTTTGATTGCTACAGAAAATGCACTAGAAATAAACTATGATTTAAGACTTGAGAAAAGGTCAGATTATAAAGATCGCATATTTGAAGATCCATTACATGAACAATCGCAACATCTATAATGTTATAATGGCTTGAGGTGCGTATTCAATATTCAATATGATTTACATAAATTCACCCACCCTAATAATATTAATATCCAAGAACAGGACAAATAACTATAGAAATACATAAAGTAATAGCTGTGAATGGAATCAATCATGTAGAACTGTCCAATTTCATCGAATAATAGGCATTCGAAAGAAAAAAAAAGTCAACTAATAATCTTTAATCACAATAAAATACAGTATTAAATGATGTATTCAATATTCAATAAAATTTACATAAATTCAGCCTCACTGATAACATCCAAGAACTGGAAAAATAATAATAGAAATGCATAAGATAATACTAGTGAAATAAATCAGGTAGAACTGCCCCGCTTTGTAAAATCAACAACCAATATGCCATTCAGAAATATTTTTTAAGATTAGTTAAGAAAATCAATGAACGGAACTTCACAGCAAAAACCATTTCCAACACAACTAAATATATAACTAAGAATCTCCCATATGGATAAAAACAAGCATGATATTTCAAAAATATAATTTTATAATCACATTGATATTTAACTCATGATAATCCCAATAGCTTAGGGCTGGTTTGGGATCAATTTTGATTTTTGTAAGTGTTTTTATTTTCAAATACATGTCTGTTTAATATTTTTTTACATTTTTTTTTTTGCTAAAGACAAATTAAAATATTTTTGAAAATGCTCAAAATAACTTTTAGGGCTTAATTGAGATCATTTTTATTTTTTGTTTTAATTTTTTGCTCTTAAAAACATGTTTCTTTTAGTGTGTTTTTTTTTTGCATGTTTTTTATTTTGGTTTTTAAAAACAAATTAAAATGTTTTTGAGATCACTCAAAACAACTTTTAGGTGTTTTGAGCCTTTTTAAAAACAACCATACCTTAATCAAATAACTGAACACGTTTTTTTTTTTTTCAAATTAAAATATAAACTAAACAAAATAAAAATAGAAAATAAAAATAAAAAATAAAAAACAAAACTGATCTCAAACAGTCCCTTAGTTGTTTTAGAGTTTTTTAAAAACAACATATTTTAGTGTTAAGTATCAAGGGCTGTTTGGAATCATTTTTTTTTTCCATTTTTTTTATGATTTGTTAGGTTTTAATTTAAATTAAAACATGTTGGCTTGATGTATTTGTTTTAAAAACACTAAAAACATTTTTTAGGTGCATTAAATGTTTTTAAAAATAATTTGATTTGATTTTAAAAAAATTAAAATATATAAAAATTATACCAACCAAACATGTTTTCAAAAAAGAAAGAAAAAATAAAAATAAAAATAAGAAAAAAAAAAATAATGCCATATGGACCCTTAGTGCTAGTAGCAGGGACCACTTATTCTCCCTTCCTCTCTAAAAGAATTCTTCAACTACACCCATGGAAATTTTATCAAATTTTCACAAATTAGAATTCAAAATGTAGAGTAACCTGAATGTTTAACATCAAAATTACATCCGCATAATAGAAAAAATGAGAGCTAAAGCATTACCTCCCCAGCCTTAACAGCAATAACATGGGGAGTAAATCCAGTCCCAACCGATCCTGCAAGAAAATATTTTTTTTTTTAGAAACAAAAGTGTAAGAAATAAAAAATCAATTTTTATAAATGCAAACAGACACACCATGTCATTGTTATTCCGATAAATCATTTACAACAAGATTATAGAGAATCTAAATAACATGTGTATGAAATTGAAGGAAAGAAAAGACATCATATAAAAATTATTTTTAATTATGATTCAAAGCATCAATAATTTTGAAACAAGTTTTATGATTAGGCTGTGTGACCTAAGGTCAACTGTCAACCTTTACCATTAGTTGACCATATTAAAAATTAAGTTTTCTATTAGGATTCATAATTCCAACTACAAATAGTTGGGGATAAGAATGATGATGATGATGATATTATTTTGATGAGACAAGTATGCGGGTGCATTAATAAATTACTAATTAGTCCATCTTAAATAAGATAAAATAGCCAGAATGACTAATAAAACAATGGACAAGTACAATAAGCAGACCACAAACTCATCTAAACAATACAATCTGCAAAATATTAAAGTTTTTTTCAGAATTTTGTTAAAAAAAAGGCCATAAATCCAGGAGATAGCAACTAAACTAAAGCTTATCTGAGCTTCATTTTATAAAACTAAACTACCAATCAACAAAAGCAAGCATTCAATAACAAACAGATACACTGCTAAGTCTAAGTCTACCCTGGGGTAAAAATATCCAAGGTCAATATAGTAATTTACTTGTTCCTCTTCTTCTTCTTGCGTCAGCACCAAATCCATGATCCATCTACCATAGTAAAACAGCTATTTTCCTTCCTAACCAAACAGAGCAACCCTCCCTCACCCACCCTATTAATCCCTCATGTCTCCTCCATATACCAAAATAATTAAAAGAAATCAACCTCTCCAAGAAAATAAATGCAAAAAAAATAATAGTAAACATCATTACAAACAGAAACAACTGGGAAAAATCAACACATCTTAAATACAGAATCAAAAACAAGTTACCCAGTGCCAGCATCTGCTGCTTCTTCCCTGAGGAGCCCGGAGGCCTTCCCCTTGCCTTCTTCGTTGGATCACCAGAAATTGAAAAAGCTGCATTTGGTTGCCCTGATGATGGTGAAAACACTGCACTGCCTGGTGAAGCTGTAGAAGTTGGGGAAACTGTGCTTAGAGCAAGAGCCATGGAACCATCTGCGCTATACTTCCTAGGGCGTCCCCTCTTCTTCTTTATCTGCTCTCCATGACCACCAGCATTCAGGCCATGAATCGAAACCACAGGAGCAGCCAAGGCTACATCTCCACCAGCCCCGCCACTGTCAGAAAGGCCACCAACTCCAGCACTTCCACCATGAAACGAAGGAGGTTGGCTAATGGCGCCACTGTTTCCACCATGAAAAGGAGAAGGTTGACTACCAGTCCCGCTGCTTCCTCCATGAAAGGGAGAAGGTTGGCTACCAGTCCCGCTGCTTCCTCCGTGAAAAGGAGAAGGTTGGCTACCGGTGCCAGTATTTCCTCCATGAAAAGGAGAAGGTTGGCTACCGGTGCCAGTATTTCCACCATGAAAAGAGGAAGCTGGACTACTAGAGTTGGACGCGCTCGTAGTTGGCTTAAAAATGGCAGAACCCTCGGGACCGAACATGAGCCGCATACCAGAGAGGGAGGGATGAGTAGCCACAGGGTTTTTCTGCATGCTCATGGTGAAAGGTTGTTCAGATCTCACTTCCATAATTCAAAGCTCGAGACTTTCAATCGCATCAACAAGAATCTCAGTTCGGGCTCGGCTCCAAGCCCTCGAGATAGAAACAGAAAGAGCAAAACTTCGATCTTTAATATTTGGGTTTGCTGCAAAAAAGTAAACAAAATAGTTTTGAACAGCAAGTGGATCAAAAAACATCTCAGAAACCCTAAACCCTAGTTGTAGATTACGAAAATAGCAGACGCAGCAACAAGAGCTGTTAGTTTACAGTCGAAGGGTGTAAAAAGCAAGAGTGCGAAATAAATTAGTCTCCGGGGACAATAAAATAAGAGTAAAACATAACAAATGCACAAATCAGTGACAATATCTTCAGTGAAAACTACAGAAAATTCGAGGAGGCTCGCAAAAATTCCATCTTATTTCAAATTTCCGGGAAAATTAAGAAAATCGGCGAAAATCCATGGAAAAGGACCTAAGAAATAGGGGGGAAAAAAAGAAAAAGCTGGTAGAAAAAAAGCGGAAAATAAACCCTAGCGCTCTCCCAACGAGTTCCTGATGCTGAAGACTTCTAGGATGAAAATGGAGAAATCGCAGAAATAATTTGTGCTCCAACCTTTCGATTTTTTCCTCGATTTATTTTTTTTTTAATTCCGCGGAACCACCTTTTATTTCTAATGAACACCGCAGATGGCAATTTATAAATCAATTATTAGGGGAAAAAAAAGAAAGGTAAAGAAAGCGGGCCGAAAATGCTAATCCCGCAAAAGATACAATAGGGAGAGATAAGGCATTTGAATAATAATGTGAAGGAATATTTACCCACATATCACACATTTCTTTTATATTTATGTCTAAAATTCAAACTTTAATTTTCAATTGTACTTGATTTACACCTTAAAGAATATAGCATAAGTCAAGAAAGAGAGAAAAAGAGAGAGGAGTGAACAAGTCTATCACACACATCATCATTTATTCATAAAATTATCTCTTTATTTATAAACTGATCTCTTTATTTATAAATGAGATTGTATAATATGATGATGTTATATTTTTTTTTTCATACTTTAAATGGGTTGTACAGGGTATTCTTGATATTTTACGCCTAAGAGTATGTCGCTCAACTGCTCTCTGACTTTGTCGGCTGGATTTATAAGGTTTCGGGTTGGCATGATTATTCGGTCAGTTAGGCTGAATTAGCACTATTGGTCGATCGATCTTGATTGGCATAGGGTCAGCAAAGTCGAGGACAAATGATCTAGTATAGTTATCGACCATTGATAATGGATGACGGAGCTTCTAAACATCCATGATATGATTGTAGATGTTGAGGGGATAGATCTTCTCTCAGGTCGGCTTTTAGTGGTGGTTGACTCATGTGACTTGTTATCTCATTTCTGATCAAATGATTTAGACTTTGATCATTCGGTCATCTTTTTGCCCTTCATGTGTCTCGATTGGTTTTGGCCCTTCTGCTTTGGCTCCTACGGTTGCACTCGGTCGAATAAGTGGGACTCACATTCTTTTGTTTGTGGGTCTTCCATTGTACTACTTTTCTACTCCAAACTGTTAAATCTTTTAAGGACGAGTGTTGAGCATATTTTTGTTCTTCAATTATCTTTCCATTTGAAAGCAATCTTGTGATGAGAACAAAATAATTTAATGCAAAAAGTAGATCATTTTTATTCTCATTCAATGATTCAATAATTGAACTTTTGTTATTTCCGAGTCTTTGAGTCGTATAAATAAGACGTGATAGGACTATCTATATTTCATATTTTCTTTGCGTCCATTCTCCTTTGAATCGGTCAATTTCTAAGTACTGTCATGGAGAATGGGTCAAATTCTCCGATCAAAGTCAACAACAAAGATCAAGTTCGTGTTACCTTCGAGGGACCGAAGGAGTGGTACCGCTTGAAAGGTGAAAAGAAAAACAAATTCATCATTAAGAAGAGAAAAGTGGTTGGGTTGGCAGATCATGTAAGGTCATCTAATTTGTTCCCCGTGTCTCGGCAGAGGAACTTTCAAGCGACCGACCCGACCATCGATTTATCGGCTTGACCTTTTGCAATTGATCACACAAAACGATGTTGATGCTTTGCTGACGCCCAAGGCACAAGAAGCTGCTGGTTCTCTATTGTCACCTGGTTAGAACAATTTGTCAGTTACAAGGTCTGAGCGGGATAAACTCTTTAGTATAAGGAGCCTCAATCTAACTTGTTAGATTTTAATTTTATTTGGGTTTTTTTTCTTATGTTGTCTTTGATGCATTTGACCTGGTAGTCCTGGTTGATGGCTTACCTCTAACAAATATTGGTGGGAACCCGATTGTGATGCCAAAAGCAGCTTCACAGGAGTCAACCGGGAGCGGCCGACTCTCGAACGAGGATTGTGGGATTAACAGCCCAAGCAATACTTTGTAGGCCTAGAGGAAAGCAACTAATCTGATAGACATCCCCTAGTTTGCTGGCTCATTGCTTGTCTGAGATAAGGAACTCATTCTCTCGGTCAGCCAGGATTCATTGAGGTGAGGAGATATACAATCAAGTGGAGAAGGTGGAGAGGGTGGAGGAAAAGACCATTCTTCACTAAAAATAAGCAAACGTTTAGGAGAGATCCATCATACTCGATGCTCAACCCGAAAGGATCAAGTGAGCAAATTCAAGTTTGGGGAAGAATATTTGTAGAAGAGGTTTCTTCAGTTTGGCACGTCTCGGTCGAAGCAGCGGACGATCCCCTCGTAAACTATTTCCTCTCGACATTGCTCTTGAGCAATTTATAATTTGTAATGCCTATTTTCGTAATGAAATTTGGTAACGTTGGTCCCCTCCGAGTGAACCGGCATGAATAAGTTTTGTCACTTTGCTTTCAGAGAAGGAAGATGGAAGTTGTTAAGAAGATGGAAGGTCCCCAAGTGTATGATTCACCTTTGGCTTCATCTGTAATTTAGAAAAACATTTTTTTTTTCTTTTGAACACTTGTAAGGAAATTTTATAATTTTTTCAAACATAAATGGAAATAAAGTTCCAAGACATTTTCATCACATTTTATTTTTCTTGTGGTGATTGGTTGTGATAATTGATAAAAAGAAAAGCTTTAAAGATGTTTTCGATCGGTTTGTTGAGTTACCACCTGACTCAAGTTTCGCTTCTCATATTTCAGTCGCTTGAATAGGTCATCCCCTTGAACGAGCCACACCTTATGTCAATCATATTAAACAGATATTGTCACAGTCATTGCGGGGTTAATAGTTGAAACCGGTTGTTGAGGTGATTCATATGCTTCCCATTATGGATTTCATCGTTAATGGGTAGGAAATTACCACAAAATATTAACCCTCTTCGAACTATGAGACATGGGTTTTTTATGATGCAAGAAAGTTGTGAATCAGATCTTGCGAGTTTTGCTTATCGAATATTATCCATCACTATCGATCATTTAGGAAATTTTTATTGATAGTACTTTACTTGTTATTGTTGATTATTTAAGAAATCTTATTATTTGAACGTGACCAGTCACTACAATTTTTTCGCTTGAACGAAACCAATGTCAATGGATCGGTTCGAGTTCCTGAGTGTTAGTCGCATTCTGACAATCTCTTATGCAAACTTCCCAAGTTCCCTAAGTGTCGATCAGACTTAAAATCATATGTGTAATTATAAGAAGTTATTCAACTATTTTTAAGAACTTGACAACAAAATATATGGGTTCGAATGACTCAGCTTGGTTTGTTTGGGCAGTTGTGGTTTGATAGAGGATTCTCACATATCGAACCAACCGCTAGTTAGGGTATCAAACATAACTCTATTAGTGATACCATCTGTTGGCCTCCATGCAGTCATGAGGCAATCGAGTGCCTTCGTAGTGAGGACAGATTCAAGGATGTGAATTATGCCTCAACTTCCATCCCTCGTTTTAGAGGGCCCTCTTTTATGGTCAAAGAGCAATGGGCTTTCTTCTGGAGGAAGCAAAGTTAGAGTTATACTCCTCAGTCAATATGTGGTTGTTGGCTAGATCCAATAACTCAGCCAATGACTTTAATTGTTGAAAACCCAAAGCATATAAGAAGGGTCCTTCCTTTAGCCTTTGAGCTAGGACGACATGAGCTATTGCAAGATCCAAGTCTCTGACTTCCACCATCTTCTTCTGGAAGTGTGTGATGAATGAGTTAAGAATCTCGTTATATCTTTCTTGTACTTACACTAGGGTATGTGATTTTTTCTAAGGCTTTTGGATGCTAGAAAACTAACTATAAACATTTACTTGAAGCCAACAAACGATGTGATCACTCCCTGCATAATGCATTAAAGTACCCGAGGGTCGATTCCCTTAACGTGGTAAAAAAAATATGATATTTTAGCACATCAGTGATTTTCAGAAGACACAGTTGACTCAAACCAGGCTTTGTGGTTGGTCAGATTGTTTATGCCCTTGTAGGACTCTAGAGTGAAGATTTTGAACCTCTATGGGGGCTCAGCATAAGAGATTTGCTTAGAAAATGCATTCTTGGGTTGTCGGGGTGACTTGATATGCCCGGATTGGTGTTAGTTTATCGTGTCAATCCATCACTATCAAAAGTACTGGGAGTTGCCTTTTCATTCCGAGGCCTAAGGAACTGTTAGGTCGTTGAGTGTTGACCCTTCCTCTAGGAAGTGCGACTATGTTCCCAAAGCGAGCCTACCTCGGATGGCGTCCAACATTTGATTCTTCAACTCTTATGTTTGCTTTCCATAAACTCGTTGGTGCACTTCATGTTGTCGGTGTCTCTGTTGTGACTTACTTCTCTATGGATTGCTCCTCTTATTGTATGTGACATGTTTCACGCTCATTGCATCGTTTAGAATGTTGGATCATTATTTTTTCATGAATCACATCCCAAAGAATAGAGTGCAAGTCGGGAGAGAGGGGAATATATAAATAGAGAGGAGTGAACAATAAAAAACAATAATACAATATTTTTTATCATGCCCATCCTAATTTTTTTCATAAAACGATTTCCTTATTTATAACAGAGTGGGTACACTGATGATTTTACATTTTTTCTCATACTTTTAAATAGGGTTGTATAGGGTAATCTTGGTATTTTACATGTAGGGCTTATTACTTTGATGTTCTCTAGCTTAGTCGAGTAACCATGTTTGGCTTCAGGTCAACAAGATTAGTTTTGTCGGTTGGGCTTGGTCGATGTTCCCGATCAGCCAAGCTTGATTGGCTTCGGGTCGAAAAGACTAGCTTGGTTGCTAGATCTATTCTAGCTAGCAGTCCTTGATAATTGATGGGGGAGCCTTTTGGACGTACTCAATATGACTAGAGATGTTGAAGGGCTAGATCTTCCCTTAGGTTGGCTTCTTAGTGGTGATTGGCTGAGATGTCTCATTATCTCGTTTTTGATTGAACATTTCGGGCTTGGATCATTTCTTCATCTTCTTACCCTCCTCGTGCCTCAGTAGACTTTGGCTCAACCTATTTCGCTCAGTCAGATAAGTAGATCTCATGTTATTTTTTTGGTTAGTCTTACCTCACAGTACTTTTCTCATATAGATCGTTTAATCTTTATAGGTTCAACGCTAGGATATTTTAATTTTAAGTACAACATAAAAACTATATTTCACTTTTTAAAAGTTAAAATAGTGATATTTTTTATGCGATATGAAAATTTTGCCTCATATAAATATAAAAGATAAAGTTCAAACTTTAGATACGTAAATAAATAAGAATTGGGGAGTTTGT